CACCCAAGTCATGCGGGTGTAGACGTCGACAATGGTGAGAAAATACTCAGCTCCAGCAGCTCCAAGCTTCAGGGGGCCCACCACGTCCATCACCACCTCATCAAGCGGTGCCTTTGCCGTTGCCTCCGAACTAGGGAACGGAAACCGGGTGAACTTGGCTTGAATGCACGTCGGGCAGCCAAGCACCTCATCGGGCTCCCCCTTCACACGTATGCCAGCAACCATCTCATTCTTCACTAGCTGCTGCAAGATGGGCAGGGCCACATGCCCCATGCGCCGATGCAAGGTGAGCCAATCACACTCCCCCGTAGCCGAAGTTGGATTGGAGAATGCCGCGCTCGCAATAGCGCCCCACATACTCTCTCCGTAGTCCTCCTCCGCTGCTGCCTCTGGGTTCTCCTCACCCTTTTGCTGCTCCTTGGTTGCTGCACCACTCTCCTTAGGTTCACTGAACTTGCTGGTCCCTCCAGGTTTGCTCTTCTTGAGCTCATTCTCCTTAGCGCGACCGTTCGCGCCATCGTCGCTACCGACCGCTCCATCCTTGGTGCTGATGCTTGCTGCCACTTGCCTCTCCTTAGGCATAGGGACCACTGGGATCTGCCACATCTCGTTGTAGACATCCCTGTCCTCATGAAGGTCCCAAAGAATTCGATCGCCAAGCCTTGCGGTGTAGGTCTTGGCTCCCTTCGAGTTCGTGTCCATGCCGGCCTTTGCCAACCGCCGCACGGAAATCAGGTTTGCAGCAAGGCTGGGCACCCAAAGCACGTTCTTGAGGCCCACCATCTTCCCATCAGCACCCTTGAACATGGCCTTGCCCATGCCTTTCACCTCTGCTCGCTGCCCCAAAGCCGATGTGACATGCTTCACCGGTGACGGCTCGAGTTCGGTGAGCAAGTCCGGGCGAGGTGTCATGCTATAGGTAGCGCCACTATCAATCACCCAATAGTCCAGGGGGTGTAGGGTCACCTTCCCCACAGCTGCTGGCTCCTCAAAGCCTTCATCCTTCTCTGGACCAGCCGGTACTTGCGTCGACACGAAGTAGAATAGACCCGGGTATCGATCGTCGCTCGGGTCCTTGTCGTTGTCTCCGCTCTTCATGTTTGCAGCTCCGCCACCGCGACCGCCACGGCCTCCACGGCCTCGTCCTCTCCCTCCTCCTGCTCCTCTACCCTCTTGGCCTTGAGCAGGGGTCCAACCATCAGGGAGTTTGTAGCAGTCGCGCCACATGTGTCCGCTCTTGTGGCAATAGTGACACTCGCCGTCGAATCGGCCGCGACCGCGTCCGTAGCTCTTGTCGTCGCTGCCGTAACCGCCACTCCTGCGGCCTCCGCCGAAGTTGCTGCCACCAAACCTTCCTCCCCCTCGTCCTCTGCCTCTTCCTCGACCATATCCACGGCCGATGCTCGCTGCCCCAGCGCCATCCGCACTCGCCAACTCACGGCGGCGGAAATCCTCTTGAAGGATAGCTCGCTTCACGTCGTCAAGCGAGAGGCGGGGCAAGTCGCGATTAAGGTTGATGATGAGCGAGGACCATGACTCTGGGAGTAAGGCCAGCAACTTGGTCTTCTTTTGGAGCTCACTGTAGTTCAAATCAGCTCCCTCAAGCCGCGTCAACAAGTCGAAGAATTTCTGCACCCCTTCTTCAACCGCTTCGTCTTCTTCAATTCGTAGTGCCGCCATTTGCCGTTCCAACACCACCGCTACCGCCGCTGTTGCAGGAGCATGTACACCCTTGAGAGCAGCCCATGCCTTTGGTCCTTTCTCTGGTTCACGCTGGAATGGCTTGATGTGACGGATCTGACTGCTCCCCAACGCTTGCCCAAGTAAGAGATAGCCTTGTGCGCTCTTCCGCACCCACGGGCTCTTCTCCGGGTCGTTCTCGGGGCGCTTCTCCGTTCCTTCCATCACCTCCAGCAGGTCATAGTGGTCAAAGATGTTCTCCATCTTGAAGGACCATTCAGCAAAGTTGTCACCGTTGAACTTGTCAAGCCCAAACACCCTAGGCTCATCCCTAGGTGGGCCAAGACTTGGTTGCATGGGCGCCATGGCTGAATCACGGGGTTGGCCTTGAGCTTGAGCTTCTCCACTGCCACCAGCACCTCTGCCACCCCTTTCCTCAGGTCCAGACATTGTCGAAACTGCTCCAAGGGGCTCTGATACCACTTGTTATAGTCACAATAGGCTTGAATGTGCCTAAAACGAAAGATAGAGAGCACAGACGGATTTCTGCACAGCGGCTTCAAACGTTGATAGCGTTCTGCTCACAGCTGCAAATGACTTGATTCAAATTGGATCTGGAGCGTCTTTACGTCGTCTACAATTAGAAATTTAGATTGCACGATTTGATAAAGAATTGACGACACAGCGTCGGTTTGAACGAACGGTACTATGGCAGCCACTATAGTCTTAGAACACAAGATAGGAAGAGTTACGAGTTGGGAATGACTCCCAGCTCCTACAAACCCCAAGAGCCGAGGTACAGTGATGTGGAACAGTGCCACACTGTCCCCAACCACGAAGGGTCTCGAAACTACCCTTCACTAGGGCCTACACCAAGTGAAACGTTACACTACACAGAGTAATGTAACTATCTTCAATATCTTGAGGTGTACCCTTTTGGCAAGCTTCGAAATCACTTGAGGCTTGACACCAAGGCTCGGGCTCTTCATCACAAACTCATCCTTGAGTTCTTGATGGGTCTGCTGCACACACCTACGACACGCCGAACGTTCGACACAGGACAAAATAGAAACCGCGCACGACAAAATAGAAACCGCGCGCGAGACACAAACGACCGCGTAACACGCGTCTAGCGATAACTCGCTATTGACTCGACACACACACTCGACATCATGACTCAACATTCACACACAATTATAAGCATGAAATATATATTATCCCATGCCCTCATACCATTCCATACACACACACATTCATGCACACGGACAACAAGCCGAGTGCAAACCGTAGGGTTGCACCAACAAAAAGAGGGTTTGAATTGAATTATCAACTGGGTACAATACGAGGCTATATATAGGCTCGACACAAGGCCCGGTAACCAGGTGTTACGCGAAGGATCCGCGGGTCGCGAAGTGTCCCGAACAGATCCTTCCCGAATTCGGTAGAAGGCAATTCGGTGGCAACCGAAAAGCCCAGAATTTGGTGCACGCAACCTAGCTCGGTGCTATAACTATAATAGAATATAGGAAAGCACCTAGCCTAGGAAATCAAGCAATTCATGCATGCATATAATTATCCTATGCTAGAAATAGCATAATAAAGTCTAGGCAAGCAAGCATAGCTGGCATAAACCGTCGTACGCTCACACTCGCCATCTGCCACGACCCAACAGTCACCGTTTTACCTGAACTACGGACATGACCCCACAGTACCCATGACCCCAAATCCGACAACCCAGTGCCACGCGCGCAACAGTTCGCCGAACTATTACAAGCAGCACGGACCCGAGCAGCAGGCGCAATAGAAAAATCAAACATCATCGCTAAACGCAACGCCGACCGCCACCGCCAACCTATCACGTACCAGCCCGACGACCTAGTCTTACTCGACACCCAGAACCTCCACCTGCCCATCTCCCCAAAACTCCGCCCCCGATATTGTGGGCCATTTCGCATCAGCCACATGATCACACACGTCACCGCCCACCTCCTCCTCCCTGCTGACTGGTAAGTCAGCCCGTCATTCCACGTCAGCCTGCTTCGCCCTTACGTGCCATCCACCAGTCAACTGCCTCGCAACCGCCCAGCCAGCATGACACGACCGCCGACAGAACCAATCATCACGTCCGAAAAAATCCTGAGCCACCGAGTTCGCGACCCACGGGGAGCTCGAAGGATCGAATTTCTGATCCGCTGGAAAGACCGCACGCCCATTGAAGACAACTGGGTTCCCATGGACAGAGTTGAAAACCACCCCGTCCTCACCGAGTATCTGCGGAGCCGAAATTTCCGGGATGTACACGCGCTATCGTAAGGAGGGCCTCCTTAAAGGGGGGGGGGGGGGGGGGGGGGGGGAGTGTAAGGAAAATTCATTTTCCTTACTTCGCGTCCCTGCTCGGCGCGTACACCACAGTTCCCGCCAACAGCACCCAACAGTAATCCGTTACCACTCGCGACACTCGCCTCGACACTGTTCCCGCCACTGTTCACGACGCGACCCAACCTCACGGTTCAGTTGGTAACCCGCGCTCCGGACCTCCGCCTCGAGATTTCCCGACCTCGGCGCTAGGCCCGTCGCGCACCCCAATTTCCACGCATTACCGTTACCACTGTAGTTTCGCTATATATACTTCACTCATGCCTTGGCTCATTGTACACTTGCTTCGATAGTGCAATTCTCGTTCGCTCACTTTATTGCACTCGTAACACCTACCAAAGTGTACACCTACAGACAGGAGTGTACTTCAAAAATATTATGCGGAACCAGCTTTGGTGTACTCCTAGTTGGTGTTTGATATCCGGAACCAGCTTTGGTCCAAGATTTTACAATGTACGGTAACTGCGCGCCATGTTCGATCGCAGTGCGACAACTCTGGGCGTTTCGGTATGGACGTTATGACATGCTAACTATAATCAATAACTACTACAATACAGGGTAGCGCAAACTCTCTAGTTGCTGCAACCCACAAATCACCTCTCCTCCAACATTACCTTCTCCTTGCTGTTAACAGAAGTAGACTCTAGAGCAAGTGCACTCCTCCCCTAACAACATCAGCATCCCCAGCTTCTATCTGGTGCTTTGGCTCCTCATGCACATACAAGTACTGCCTCTTGCTCCATAGCATGGCCCCGATAATCGCCAGTAGCGCCACAAGCATCACACTGCACACCACTGCTATGGCTATCGTGCCACCACTGCTGCTGCTACTGCTGCTGCCGCTTTCACTGGCAGGAGCGGCAGTGAAGGGCTGCAACCAGGGGGGACAGAGTGTACAGGGTGAGGAACAAGAAGGGACAGTGACAGGTTAGTGTCAGGAAAACTTAGGCACAGGTGGCTAATGCCTTAGCATAAAGGGGCGATGGGAGCAGCATAGGTGGGACCACGAAGTTAACTCAGTGCTCATGGGCAATACAGCCTATGAATCACTCCACATACCTCAAAAATCTCACAAACAAGTCCCACACAGTTCTCGTCCCTCCGTCACTTCTTCCTCCTCCCACTTCTTCCCCCTCCCACTTGTCCCACCTGCATGCAACCCACCTCATTTGATGCTGACTGCTGCGCTGGTGCAGAAACACCTGCGCTACCAGCATTGCCATTGCTGTTGCTGCTACTGCTGCTGCTGCTGTTGTCAGGAGGAGCCCCCCCTTCTGCTGGGCTTCCGTTCGTCTCTCCAGCAGCAGCAGCAGCAGGGTCAGCTGGTCGTTGCAGTGGCGACTCCTGTGTCAGCTTGAGCCGTGGCTGCTGCTGTTCCACCCACTCCCCCACGGGCTGGCGAGGGTGAGGAGGAAGGGAGTGGGATGAGTGGGGAATAGAGGGGAAGAGGAGGCGACAGAGTGGGATTATTTAGCACGCACCGTGCATGAACAGCAAAAGCAGCAGCAGCAACAGCAGCAGCAGCATCGCCAGCAACAGCAACAGCAGCGACAGCGCCAGCAGCATGAGAGGCGTACCATCCATGGGAGCCCTGCAAACTGCATGAGCGAGTAGCGCGGCGACACCTGCACCTTGCTGCGCTCGCCCGAGTCCGAGTCAAAGTGCATGCGCCCCGTCGCCCCCGGGAAGGACACGCAGTCAGACGGCGAGTCGTTGAAGCAGGCGAGCAGGTGCGCGGCAGACAGGGACGCGCCTGGCAGGTGGACGCAGGGAAGGTGATGTAAAGAAGGGGCGAAGGAGGGGAATTGGCGTGAGAGGGAGAGGAGGGAAGTGCAGGGGGAGGGAGTGGGGGGCTATATGGGAAAGAATGGGTGGTTTGCTCATTGGAACTCACTTTGTGAAGAGATTACGTAGCACTGGCTTACTGTGTGTCAGTGTCACAGCAGATAGGTAATGTTGATTATTTTCAATCCCCCGTCCCCCGTCCCCCATCCTCCATTCCCCATCCGCGTACCATGCTCCCCAACGGTCTTGTTGACAGCCTCGTGGAACGCCCACACGGCATCCACGAGGTGCGGGACGAAGGGCCGGGGGGCGGAGAAGCGCGGGGAGGCGTCGAAGGTGAGCAGGCCGGGGAACGCCGCGTACGACTGCTGCTGCCAGTACGCCTTGAACGGGGCAAATGGCTGCTCTCCCGAGGGGTCGGCGCCTGCAGGAGAGGAGGAGAGGGTGATGGTGGAGAGATTGAAGGATTGCGGAGGTGGGAAGGGGATGAGGTGATGGTGGGTTGAAAAGGGGCTGACAGGAGACAGGAGCGGGAGAGAGGGGATAACCAATGTCAGTCGACAAGGTGCAGCAGGGGAGCAGCCGAGGGTGCAGCAGAGGGCGCATGAACCCACCTGAGGGCGCGAGAGCGAGCTCGTTGAGCATGTGGTTGGCTAGCATCTCCTCGCCTGACTGCGGCGCTGCATCCATGAGGTCGCTTCTAAAAACTCCCAAAAGTGATTCCAGCAAAGCAGAGGGCACGTCAACCCACCTGAGGGCGCGAGCGCGAGCTCGTTCACCATGTGGTTGGCGAGCATCTCCTCCCCCGACTGCGGTGCTGCATCCATGAGGTCCAGGGCTGCCACGCCGTCCGTTCCCAGGTACCACCACGGGTACCCCAGGAGATTCTGGTGGGATGACGATGCACGGACGGGGATATCAGAGGAGACGAGAAATGGGTGAAGCCAGTGTGATGTGCATCCATGAGGTCCAGGGCTGCCACGCCGTCCGTTCCCAAGTACCACCACGGGTACCCCAGGAGATTCTGGTGGGGTTGTCGGCGCAAGGACGAGGAGAGGAGAGGTGAGGAGACACGATATGGATCGTGGAGAAAACAGCCTGCAGAGGGGGGGGCGAAGTCGCAGAAGGTACAGCGAGTGCTCGCAGGTACCATAACCACAAGAACGTGCAGAAGCTTTTGAGAGGAAATGCTTCTTCAATTCGCTAAACCTCCCAGCGCAGTCGCATCGCAGGTCACAGTGTCTCTAGTACCAGCTCCCTGGCAGGCAGCACCCACCAGGGCACTACCAGCGTGCTGCCCGCACTGCTTGCACTGCCCGCACTGCTTGCACTGCCCGCACTGCTTGCACTGCCCGCACTGCTTGCACTGCCCGCACTGCTTGCACTGCCCGCACTGCTTGCACTGCCCGCACTGCTTGCACTGCCCGCACTGCTTGCACTGCCCGCACTGCTTGCACTGCCCGCACTGCTTGCACTGCCCGCACTGCTTGCACTGCCCGCACTGCTTGCACTGCCCGCGCTGCTTGCACTGCCCGCACTGCTTGCACTGCCCGCACTGCTTGCACTGCCCGCACTGCTTGCACTGCCCGCACTGCTTGCACTGCCCGCACTGCTTGCACTGCCCGCACTGCTTGCACTGCCCGCACTGCTTGCACTGCCCGCACTGCTTGCACTGCCCGCACTGCTTGCACTGCCCGCACTGCTTGCACTGCCCGCACTGCTTGCACTGCCCGCGCTGCTTGCACTGCCCGCACTGCTTGCACTGCCCGCACTGCTTGCACTGCCCGCACTGCTTGCACTGCCCGCACTGCTTGCACTGCCCGCACTGCTTGCACTGCCCGCACTGGCTGCTTCCAAACCGCCAGAACCCAAAGGTCGTACGAGACTTGTCAGGAACCATCATTTAGTGAGAGCCCTCGCGGCATGTGTAAGCACTTACAAGCTTGCTAGCGGCGGCCCAGAGGCAGGAGGCGGTGCTGGGTAGCACGGCCAGCACCACGCCCATGTCCTCCGACCCCTTCATCCAGTCGTCCGCCGCGGGGGGGAAGTACGCGGAGCAGTCCGCGGGGGGCGGGTGCGGGATGCGCACCGTGCGCACCTTCAGCTGGGGCTCCTGCGTCACCTGGGGGAATGGGGGAGGGGGCGGGGGGATGGGGAGGGAGGGTATGTGGAAAGGGGGTAAGGGGAAGGGTGAGGGAAAAGGGGAAGCGGATTGGGAGAGGGAGACGTATAATGCATAATGGACGCGTTTAATGCACACTCTTCTATCGGCCGCGTGGCACCAAGGAATACAGCGGTGAGGCAAGGCAGCAAGGCAGCACCGCGGCAGTGGGCGCACTCACATCGTAGGCAAGCGCCTCGCCGTACGTCTCGGCGGTATGGAACACGAGGAGGCGCTTCCACTGCAGCTGGTCCACCTGCGGCGGAAAAGGGGAGTGGGTCGACGGCGGAGGAATACAGCGGTGAGGAGTGGGTCGACGGCGGTATAGAGGGGTGAAAAAGGGAGAGAGGGAAGTGGAGGTGGGGTGTAGTAAGAGTGGGTGGGCAGGGATAGGTTGGAAAAAGAAGGGAGTGGGTTCAGGGGTTGGAGAGAGGGGGAGTATGGAGGATGGAAAGGAGGAGCGAGGGAGAAGAGGAAGGGGAAGGGTGACGGATGGAGGATGGCGGATGGAAGATGGCGGATGGAGGATGACGGAGTGATGACCACGACGACGACGAATGCTTACCACGCTGCGAATGGCTGCTGCCTGATGCCGATCGCCGAAGCTGCGGACGGCACGGGGGAAGGGGATGGGGGACGAGGTAGCGGAAGGGTAAGAGGGATGGGAAGGGGATGGGAAGGAGAAGGGGAAGGGTAAGGGGAAACGGAAAGAGTGCTTATCGCATCATCGAATACGCGAGTGCTTTTGTGCCCCCGGGGGGGCATGGAAGGGGGGGAGAAAAGTTACAGGGGATGATGCAGAGGCGGAGCATAATGGAGGAACGTGAAATAGCAGTGACTCTTCTACTTCTGATAAGATATGGCAGCTTGAGCGAGACGAGGCCGACTTGTAAATCCCAGAACCTCAGTAGAGCACTCACGCGGTGCGGAAAAAAGTCGGATACGCGGTGCGGTTCCGCAGCGCGTCAGCCGTGGCGGCGAAGGACACCATCGGGATCCCCGCGCGGGCCAGCACGGGCGCCGCGCCCACAGCCGCCTCGCTGCACGCGGGCCCCACCACGCCCGCCACGCCCTGCTTCACCAGCGCGTCTGCGCCAACTGCGGCGCTGTCCGCGGTGCATTCGACGGCCTGGAAGACGGGCTTTATGGTGAAGCCCGTGTAGCGGGTAGAGAGCACGTCCAGCGCTACTTGCGCTGCCGATCCCCTGCGGTGGAGCGACGGAGGCATGGGTATAGAGAGATAAGGAGGTGGGCAGTGGGTGAGACGCGAGGCATTGGAAAGAGATGTTGAATCAGGATAGCGCGACAGGTGAGAGCCATGCGAAGAAGGTAATGTGGTAGAAGCGAAACGAATGGCGGCATGAGGAGTGATCAGCCGAGAGTGAACAAGACAACGTGTGGAGGAAAATGGCTCACACTGATCAACGAAAGAGCGTAGCGTAGCGTACCATTCGCGAGCGAGGTTGAGAGGGATATCAAGGTTGCGCTCTTGCACGGGCAGCAGAAAGCCTAGCTTCACAGCCACTGGTGCCGCCGCCGCCGGTGCCGGGGCGGTGTTAGCCTCCGGCGCTGATGCGCCTGGAGAGGGGGGTGGATTTGCCGCCACGCTGATGCCGCGGGGAAGACGTGCGAGGAGGAGCAGGAGGAGGAGGGGGAAGGGGAGAGTACTCGCTCGGCGACAGGCCATTTTTCGGCCGGGTAGTGGGAAATGCGAGGAAGGTTTGGGAGGTCTTGTTTTCGTCCGCACTCGCGGCGCCCCGTTCGCCGTTCTTGACGGAGAGCTGGTCCGTGCGCTGCGGTGATTCAAGCTCTATGGTGACCGTTGGAAAAAACGATAGCTAAAGCAGAGGATGTTGATCTTGTGACTGCCTTTGCGAACGTAGCCACTCTAGAGAACACGTAGTGGGGAAGCACTCAAACACTTATTAGCAAATGAATCGTGGTTCGAACTCCACTGGATTTGCTATTCATATGGAACATGGTAGTGCAAACCATGTCCTGCTGGGACATGGCTTGTTTGTCTCTCTATGACTTGGCTTTGTCAGGCAATCAGAGCAGCAATGCCATCCTTGCTTCTGATTCGTGAAGCTGACTGCGTGTACGATTGATGCATCCAAACATGCGACTCGGAATTGATCACAAGTCGCGTTCGCGATGCGGGCAGTCGTGGTCAGTCAGGGGCAAAAATGTCGTTTCAAGTTGCCCCTAACCAGGGCTGCCGGAACCAATATTCGCCCCAACCCTGCAGCAACGACAGCACCTTACAGTATTCCTTATAGCTGCGAGAGAGCACGAAATACAGGCCTTCTTTGGGAACCAGAATGTCGGATCCATCGCCCCTTAGCAGTGAGAGTGGTACGGAACCCCGACTCCTTGAAATTACTGGATACTTCTCGGGGAATCCCGGCTTGTAGGGTGCAATCACAGACCATTCGACCTCCCTCCAAACACTATCGCGCTGTCCCTGAACTTCGCTTCACACACACCCTTTCCCTCCACCCAAGCGCGGTTGCCACGAGCCAGTCTGTTTTCATTGGCCTGCCTGCCAGTTCACTCCCACTACCCAACCTTGCACACGTGGTGGTATCAAAGGGTGGCGCCAGTGCTCTGTCGGGTACACTAAAGCAGCATGCTTTTAAATTGTATAAACGTATCAACACACCTTCAGCAGCGTTAAAAAAAAAAACATGTGAAAGTGAGGACGTGTTCCTACGGCCTCATATCAGGAAACCTCGTATCAAGAATGCTGTTTTTGCCTGGTAAAACTAGCGAGAGGTTTTGGGTTTAGGGGAATTTTCAGTGCGAACCTGATACGAGGTTATCTTGATACGAGGATAGGAACACGCTCTGAGATGCCAAGTACGCCAGTGAGGAACATGAGGTTATATATTATCTATAACTTCTCACAAAAGACACTCCCTTATAAGCCCTTGTTCCCAACCCTCAACAGCCGAACCCACTTATCCAACCCCTCTCCAACTTCAGGTGCCCTACTAGCTACACATGATGTACCGTATCCCCCAACCACCCTGCTTAATAGAAAAGCTTTTTGAAATGCGACCGCAGCGTTCGCCTGCGCTTCACAGCCTCAAACGTGAACGCATCTGGCTCAACGCCTGCCTCGGCCATCCGATCCAACAGCTGCACACCGCGGTCCACCGCATTGTCCCTCGCACAGATATCCATAAGCTCATTGAAAATCGCAGTGGACGGCTGCATGCCAAAGTCGAGCTCCATGCGCGTCAGCAGCTGCTGAATCTTGGCCCACTGCGGTGGGCTCTTGCGCCCGTATGCTCGCAGCAGCACGCCCACTGCCACCGCGTCCGGCACCAGATTAGCTGTTCTTCCAACGTCGCTGTCGCTGCTGCTGCTGGAGGGACTGCTGGTGGTACTGGCTGGGGCTTTGCTGAAGAGGTTGAAGAAGGTGCGCTCAGCACGTGCCAGCTCACCGCAGCGCACGCAGCAGTCGATGAGAGCCGTCGCTGCCATGGCGTCTGGGGCTATGCCGTCCGCCTGACACGGGGAGACACGGTGCAGACAAGGAGAGAGGGGGGATGGTATAGAAAAGGTGGGGGAACAGGGGAGTTGGGGGGTTGGGGAGGTGTGTGGGAGAGACAGAGGAGGTAGGGATGGAGGAGTTATGCAAAGGTTAGAAACGATGGGCCGAGGGTTCAGCAAATCGGAAAGGGGACAGGGGTTATCAGAGGGTTTGCATTGGTGCGTTCGGGAGATTGACATAAAGCTTTGGCGAGCGATGATCGTGGCTGGAAGCGATCCTTTTTGTAGGAAAAGAGAAGCGGGGCTCGAGATAACACAGTTGGCACCTCTTGTCCCTGGAAAAGGGCATTTGGCACGGACAGACAAAACATTGCATGGACCAAGGGAGAACGCGCCTGTCAAGAGTGCTAGCAGTGCCTAAACCGTGAGAAATCCCGTAGAAGTAACGCTGCAAGGGTGTGCCTGTGTAGCGGGGCGGGGCGAACCTAACCATCCCCCTCACCTGCATTTGAGTGAAAAGCTCCACAGCGGCCGACGCATTTCCTTCCCGCCCGAGCTGCCGAATCCTGCGCGAAACCTCCGCACGAACGCGGGCCTCCTTGGCAGCTTGCTCCTCCCTTGGGACAGCATCGGGCACAGGCTCCGTTGGCGCATGTTCCGACGGCGCCGCGTGGCCTGGCGCTGACGGAGAAGCGCGCACCGCGAGCGCTCGGCGCGCAACGGGACCTGCGAGTGTGAATCTAGCTGAAGCAACAAGCTGTTGTTCACATGGTTGTCGCTGAATCAGGGCGCAGACCGGCTGCGCCAAGGTGCTATTAACGAGGGAAAGCGGCATGACTGCTGTGGAGTGACTGTTGAGGGATTAGAGGAACATGAACCAGTTTTGGTGTGAAGTTGAATCTGCTTCATACTCTCTTCCAGATGATGCGTAATAAGGGTGTATCCAACACTTTTCTACATTTAACTCACCCACATTCAAGCAGCTCACAAACCTGGTTATTGTTACGAGTGCAATTGAGTGAACGAACGAGAATTGCACTATCGAAGCAAGAGTACAATGAGCGAAGGTATGAGCGAAGAATATATAGCGAGACTATAGTGGTAACGGTAATGGACTGTGGTTGTCGCGCGACGGGCCTGGGACTGAGGTTGGGAAAAGTGTCGAAGCGGAGGCCCGGAGCGCGGGTTACCCGCCGAGCCGTGAGGTCGGGGTGCGACGTGCGAAGGTGGCGGGCGGATTGTCGATGCGAGGATTGCGAGTGGTAACGGTGCTGACTGTAGTGCTACAGTAATGTACGCGTTGAGCAGGGACGCGAAGTAAGGAAAAAGAGATTTTCCTTACACTACCCCCCCCCCTTTAAGGAGGTCCTCCTTACGAAAGTGCGTGTACATCCCTGAAATTCCGGTTGCGCAGATACTCGGTGAGAACGGGGTGGTTTTCGATTCTGTCCAGGGGAACCCAATTGTCTTCGGTGGGTGTACGGTCCTTCCAGCGGAGTAAGAACTCGATCCTTCGGGCTCCTCGAGGGACGCGAACTCTGTGACTCAGGATTTTCTCGGGGGTGATCATTGGTTCAGTTGGTGGTCTTGTCATGCTGGCTGGGCGATTGCGTGGCAGTTGGCTCGTGGACGGGACGTAAGGGCGAAGCAGGCTGACGTGGAACGAGGGGCTGACGTACCAGTCAGCAGGGAGGAGGAGGTGGGCGGTGACAGGTGTAAGCATGTGGCTTATGCGAAATGGCCCGCAGTATCGGGGGCGGAGTTTCGGGGTGATGGGCAGTCGGAGATTTTGGGTGTCGAGCAAAACTAAGTCGTCGGGCTGGTAAGTGACAGGTCTGTGGTGGCGGTCGGCGTTGCGTTTAGCGATGATGTTAGCTTTTTTAATTGCGTCTGCTGCCCTGGTCCGTGCTGCTTGCAAGATTTCGGCGAACTGTTGCGCGCGTGGAACCGGGTTGTCGGGATTCGGGGTCATGGTACTGTTGGGTCTTGTCCGTAATTCAGGTAAAACGGTGACTGTTGGGTCGTGGCGGATGGGGCGTTGTTGTATGTGAATTCGATGAGTGGCAGTTGCTGTTCCCACGTGTTTGGGTCGTCGCACGTGGCCCGGATGAGCTGTTCCATGGTCTAATTTGTCCGTTCTGTCTGTCCGTCTGTTTCGGGGTGGTACGATGAACTAAACTGTAGTCGCGTGCCGAACTGCTGCCACAGGTTCCGCCAGAAGTTGCTGGTGAATTTCGTGTCTCTGTCGCTGATGATTGATGCTGGTATCCCGTGCAGTCGAACGACGGTAGAGATGAAGAGGCGGGTTGTTTCTTCGGCTGTGATTGATTTTTTGCAGGCTGCGAAGTGTGCCATTTTCGTCAGTCGATCGACGACGACCAGGATCGCGTCATTTCCACTCGCCCCGGCCGGTAACCCCGTGACGAAGTCCATCGTCACCTGCTGCCAAGGACGCTCTGGAGGTGGGATTGGCTGCAACTGTCCCGCCGGCCGATTCCGTGTTGACTTCATGATCTGGCAAGTGGGACACGATGCCACGTGTCGCTGCACGTCGGTCAACATTTCGGGCCAGTAATAATACCGCTGCAGCTGCTGCCGTGTTTTCTCTATCCCGAAATGTCCCGAGGTAACCCCGTCGTGTGCCTCCTGTAATAGTAATTCCCGTAGCAGTGTGTACCCTAGTACCCAGATGCGGTCGGTCCCGGCTTTTACGTAATAGACTCCCTTGGCTGTTGCGAACTGCTGCGAATTTCCTCCTGTGAAGAATGGGTCCGTTTGATATCCGTGGGTAAATAGTCCTGTCAGTAGCGGGCTGGTCTGGGCGAGTAGTATCGCGTGGATCTAGGCAGTGGGGCGGGTCAGTGCGTCGGCTATGTTCGAGGCTCCTTTTTTATAGGTGACTGTGTAGTGGAAGTTTGACTCGAGGAAATCGAGCCACCGAATCTGTCGTGGGTTGAGGTGGGGCTGTGCGCGGAGGTACTGTAGTGAGCGGTGGTCTGTCCGTACTGTCACGTCTGCGCCGGTCAAGTAGCAGCGCCACACTTTGAACGCATACACGATCGCGAGCATTTCGCGGTCGTGTATCGGGTAATTTCGCTCGGGCGGATGCAGTTTTCGTGACTCGTATGCGATGGGCTGTAGGCCGTTGCCGAAGTCCTGTAGCAGTACGGCTCCAATGGCGATGTCACTTGCGTCTGTAACAACCTCGAAGGGGCGGTGTGGGTCGGCGATGCACAGGACGGGCGGTGAACAGAGAACATTTTTCAGGGCAGAGAAGGCAGCATGCTCTTTCTCCCCCCACGTAAAAACGACCCCCTTTCGCAGTAAATCCGTCAGCGGGGCAGTCAACTGTGCCATGTCGGGGACGAACCGACGAACATAATTAACGAACCCTAAAAAACTCTGCAGTTCCGTGATGTTCGTCGGGGGACGCCACGCTTTTACCGTATCCAGCTTCTTTGGGTCGATTTCAACTCCAGCCTCCGATATAACGTGCCCCAAAAATTCTAGTTTGTCCCGAAAAAACTCGCACTTAGAGCCCTTGGTGAGTAACCGATGTTCCTCTAAAACTTTAAATACTGCTTCGAGATCCGCTAAATGCTGCTGCTTGTCGCGACTGTAGACGAGGATGTCGTCGATGGTAAACTATCACGCATTTATCTAAGAGTGGCCTAAACGCCTCGTTCATGGTCATCTGAAATGTTGCGGGCGCGTTGGTCAGCCCGAAAGGCATCACTGTGTACTCAAACGACCCGTACCTAGTCCTAAATGCTGTCTTGGCGCAGTCCGATGGTTCGACCCGAATCTGATGGTAACCCCCCCGTAAGTCTATTTTCGAAAACACCCGTGCTGTTCGCAGTTGGTCGATCAGTTCGTCGGCGCGGGGAATGGGGTACCGCGACTTGACTGTTACCCTGTTGAGCGCTCGGTAATCGATGCACATGCGAAAACCTCCGTCTTTTTTTGGTGTGAACTGTCAGAACATTATAGCTTATGCTGTTGTGTAGGCTATAGTGGGGTATCCCATAGGGGGTACAACCAATTAGGGTTTCATATTTGTACTCACTTCATTTTCATAGTCCCCCCATTCTCGTTCTCATTCTCACATGGAATCAGAGCAGGTCCCCTCCTAGGGACTGTTCCTTGGGCCCACCGAAGCGCGCCTCGAGTCGCGCCTGCCTTTTTTTTTTTTAGCGGCCCGTCGAGTCGCACCTAGCGGCCCGTCGCGCCGCCCTTACGGTCGCGTCGAGCCGCCCTAGCGGCTGCGGCGCGCCGCCCTTTTCCCGGCCCGTCGCCGCCCTTACCCGCGGCTTTGCGCCGCCCTCACCGGCGGCTTCGCGCCGCCCCTACCTGCGGCTTCGCGCCGCCCAGGCCCGTCGCCGCCCTTCCCGCGGCTTCGCGCCGCCTCTACCTGCGGCTTCGAGCCGCCCCGGCCCGTCGCCGCCCTTACCTGCGGCTTCGCGCCGCCTACGGCCCGTCGCCGCCCTTTTCTGCGGCCCCGCCGCCTCTCTCATTGCGGCCCCGCCGCCCGTCTTCGCGGCCCCGCCGCCATCTCTCGCTGCGGCCCCGCCGCCACTCACTGCGGCCCCGCCACCCGTCTCAGCGGCCCCGCCGCCCGTCTTCGCGGCCCCGCCGCCTCTCTCGCTGCGGCCCCGCCGCCTCTCACTGCGGCCCCGCCGCCCTACTCAGCGGCCCCGCCGCCCGACTTCGCGGCCCCGCCGCTTCTCTCGCTGCGGCCCCGCCGCCTCTCTCGTTGCGGCCCCGCCGCCCTTCACTGCGGCCCCGCCGCTTCTCTGCAGCGGCCCCGCCGCCCGTCTTCGCGGCCCCGCCGCCTCACTACCCAGCGGCCCCGCCGTCCTTCTGCAGCGGCCCCGCCACTCCTCTACAGCGGCCCCGCCGCCCTACGTCAGCGGTCCAGCCGAGCCGCCCAACAGCAGCGCAGCCGAGCCGCCCAGCAGCAGAGCAGCCGAGCCGCCCCGCCGCCGAGCCGCGCTGCAGTCGAGCCGCCCGGCCGCCCACCAGCCGAGCCGCCGTGCAGCCGACCGCCCAGCCGCCGAGCCGCCCAGCCGCCGAGCCGCCGAGCCGCCCAGCTGCCGAGCCGCCCAGCCGCCGAGCCGCCCAGCCGCCGAGCCGCCCAGCGGCCGAGCCGCCCTGCAGCCGAGCCGCCCGAGCAGCCCTGTCCGGTGAGCACAGACCCTCTGTCACTGCGTGCTCTTCCCCTACTCCTTGCACTGCTCGTCTACTGCTGTCATGGCTACCCCTAGTGTCCTCACTTTTGACGCTGAGGGTCGGGCCATTGACTTTGAGGTCTGGGTAGATGACCTACAGCTGTTCTTACAGTGCGATAGGGCGGACGGCCTCTCTCTCTTTGACCTCACCTCTGGCGCTTCCCCTGCCCCTGCTGCTGATGCTGACGCCACTGTTCGCTCCCAGTGGGCCACGCGCGATGCTGCTGCACGTCTTGCTGTGCGTCGCCACCTCCCTACCTCCGAGCGTGCGCACTTTAGTCAGTACAAGAGTGCTCAGACCTTGTACGCCGCTGTAGTCGCGCGCTACTCCTCCCCTTCCACTGCTGCACTGAGCCGTCTCATGCTGCCGTACCTCTTCCCTGACCTTGCTTCTTTTCCCACCGTTGCTGACCTCATTACGCACCTCCGCACTAGTGACACTCGCTACCGCGCTGCACTTCCTGCTGACTTCTGCACCGCGAACCCCCCCCCCATGTACATCACTCTGTACTTCCTAGTCACTCGCCTCCCTGACTCCCTTCGAGTAGTCAGGGACCACTTTCTCTCAGTCTGTCCCACCACACTCACTGTAGACCTCCTCGAGAAG